TGTATACATCCTCGAGTATGCGCGAATGTATCTCGAAATTGCGTGTTCGCGTATCATGCTCGTATGCTGTGTCATTATGACATGCTAAATTATCGTGGTGTTTATAAAATATTTACAATCTGTTTACTAAGATGCCATTAAGACGTCAGATAGTTGGGTAATAAATTATCTGCTAATGATTCTTCATATCAAAGTGTTGTCAATAATCATTACGCAACGAAGATTTTTTTTACGTAACGAAGATTCTTACGGATCGTAAACACGATTAAATTGTAGCAACACTGAGAAAATTCTATCAAAGACTATTCAATCGATTCTTATTTAAAAAATTTTATTAATATATTATCACATACGTATTGATAAAAAAACGGATGCGTTAAATAAATATCAATAGTACAAAGCACATGCCGTTAAAAAACGTAAATCGTCCGATTTAATCGATGCTTGCCTGAGACATTTATATAATGATCGATTGTTGTAACTGAAACATTTCGTATCCGTGATACACGCGATACGAATTGCGTATACGAGCGCTTTGTTCCAAGCTGATTGCACCGATGTGAGTGGCAGCGGCGAGCTACTTCCTCGGACGCACCGATAATTAGCCCATTAGGAAATTAAAAGTCCAACGACTGTTGAAAAGGCACGCCGGTATCGTTCTGTTTCGCCCGAAGCGGTAAGACTGTAGTCATTACTCCCAGTCTGAGCCAAAACGAAATATTCCTCCGGGAAATACAGCATAAGAACCACTTAAGAGCATCGGCCTCCGGTTCACTTTCTTCTCTCCCGGTTTAGTCCCTCTTTTACTTTGAATCGTAATAATCGTGACGCATCAAATACCGGTTGCCACGACTGATGCAAATCTCTGCCGTGCCCAGAAACTGGACAAGAACCGCTAATATCAGCGAGACTGGTCGATCAATGACACGACGAGAAACATGAATCACGAAGAGATTGCACGAGCTTTGAAGTAGAACTGTTGAATAGAACGAGATATAAACTCAGCGAAAGTATCTATGTGCCAGGCTTTTCACGCGAAATAATTTTGCCATTATGTACAATTATATATTTCTTTTTTTTTTTTTTTATATAAAATCGTGAAGAGCTATGCGCCTATTATATGATATATATCATAATTATATAAACTTTTTATAAAAAAGGGATGTATTTTTTTCTTAGAATGGGGTAAACGATTTATGTATACACGCCCGCCAATTAAAGGCACTGTAAATACTTTTATTCTGTTATGTATAATTGTACATAACGGCAAAATTATCTTGTGTGAGAAGCCTGACATATGCTGCAAGTATTTTCGTTGAATTCATATCTCGCTTTATTAACGTCTAATCAGCGATCAATATTATAAACGCTCATCGAAATGACGAAAGCAAAAGTGGGGAGAAGATAAGATATTTGCGAGAGAAAGAAGGAAATAATTTAAAAAATAAAATACAGAATGCAAGAAAAAATGCAAGGATGGGGGAGAGGGGAAAAGAGGAATTAGAAATCCGCCGACACACGCAGCTACGAGATATCGTATATATATATGAGCCAGAGAGGGATTCGGCGATAATTCCGCTAATATCGAATATCTCGAAAGTCTCGCCTCTCTCTCTCCCACCCTCGCTCCCACGCTTTTGCGGAGCGAAGAGCGAGAATGATTGTGCTCCGAGGTGTTTCATGTGCCTGTTGCGTTGCAGAAGCTCGCGCGCGCCTGTATATTAAATGGTGTTCACGGTTCACCAGTCAAATTGAATCTCGGGCTATTGGCAGATTCTCAATAAGCTTCAACAATGGACTCTGTTACACGAGCCCCGCGTCTCTCTCCCGCTCTTTTCTACTCCCTCCGTATCGTTCCGGCCCGTCGTACTTTCGTTCGGCACGTTCTCGCATTTCCTTTCAGGAACGTATCCATCGTATTCGCTATACTACTTTGCGCTGCTGAGGTTTCGTTTCTACAGCTCGATATCCTTAAATGTGATCACCCCGATTCGAAAAGGAAGCTTTTAATTTTCCTTTACATTTAAATATTCTTTGTAATCTTTAAAACTCCTCGAGTTCCTCCTGATTTCTAACAATAGTCGTATTGTATTATGACATCAGAGGCGAAAAATAATGTAAATTTTTTTTTATCTTATATCATCGAAATAAATTAGTTTTTTTTCACCAATTAATAAGGATGAAAATTGCATTAAAAAATTAAATTCATTATTATTGTAATCCGCAACGATGAATGCTTAAAACGGCTTTTTCATCTTCTGTATCATTTGCATTTGATAATACGAATTGATAAAAAAGGTTGAAATACTTCTCTTTTGATAGTTTATCAAGATTTAAAGTTATTTATTAATTTATGAACCGAAAAAAAGAAAGAATCTATTTTTAATTATTTAAATATTTAATTATGCATTGTGGTGCACGCGCGCACAAAAACTTTTGATTTTATTCTAAAAAGTGAGATAACAAAAAAAATTATTTTGAAATTTACTCATAGTTGAAATAAATTTCTAGTTAGATACGCTACTGTATTGTTTCATCGGTTTTCTTCAATTTCCAATCGCAAGTCATATATATATATATATATACTGTCTGAAACTTTTGAATCAGAAAATAATATGTAGATGATATATGTGTGTGTGACGACACATAAGCTATAATAACAATTTATCAAAATTATCAAAACTATACGCAACTATACGCTACATACAGTAGATGGAGAAAATAAACGAAACGTTTTGAACATTTGTCGTCACGAATTATAATGACATAATCTCTTTTTTTTTTTAATACATTGCTTAATTTTCATCATCGCAGTCATGTTAACACATATAAGGGATCAGAAAATTAAAATAATGAAAATACGCTTACATTCAAATAATGCGGCGGCGACGATGTAAGAGAGACTGAAAGGAAAAAAATCAAGCCATCACATTTCAGGAAATTTTTGTAGTAGTCGACGTTTCGTTCACCGATATATACGTGAAGTGCGGGCAGCGCGCGTGCATTGTCTGGACGAGGTTAAGAGGGTTAGACCGAGTTAGGGGATGTCATGGGAGGGGTTGAGGAGGTAGGTGGGTATCGGTGTAATGAAGAGCGACAGTGGCACCCCCAACCATCGCTAATTTGCCGCTAAGTGCCCGGCTTTGTTTCCGTACGCTGATCCCATCGTTCGCAATATCCTGGATCCAAGGCGACGTTCCACAGTGTTTAAGAGAGAAAGCCAAATAACCTGCGGTATTACCCGGCAATCCAGTATAGATCGGACTCGGATGGAAAAGGGACGACAAACCGACGAAGCAAATATATTCGAGAGAGAGAGAGAGAGAGAGAGGGAGAGAATATAAAAAGCGGAAAGATGGGATACTTTTTTAATATTAGCATCAATCCGACAGCCGAGTCGATAAGAGAAGTCATTTCAAATGTAACCGCTCTAGACGCTTTAATTCAATGCTGTTTAATGAAGAAGTGAATAGTTATATAATCAACGAATATACAAAAACACCTCAAATTTCGATATCTCTAAAGAATTTATGTGCTCGTGACTTTATGTATTAAACAATTTTTCATAATTTTTCGCTGTTGTATTTTTATATATGCACAAAGTAAAAATTTATAACGATAATATTGTATATAAATAACTTTTCTGAAAATTCATTTATCAGATTGCATAAACTTTTAAAGTATCATTATCCGATATTATCCAAGGCTATTACTCAATAGATTGCACGAATGATAAGCACTTCGTAAAACCAAGTACAAACGAATACTATTTTCTCCTTTCTATCTTTTATTACTATTATCATTACACAAGTAAAACATATTCTTATGCAGTGTGTGATTAATAATTAAGTTGCATTGTCTACCAGTTTTTTGTTTTTTTTTTTCATATTTACTTTCTCACAAAACTTTAAGATATTAAGATGTAAAAAATAAAATATTATCAAGAAATATGGGAATATAAGAACAGATATATACATATTCCGAAACTAAGGTAACTAATGTGTAAAAGTAATTATTGTTTTCAACTCGTGAAGAATGCGTTATTAAACCATTGAGTTAATTGGATAGTTGTCAGAGTGATGTATACTTAGCTCTACAGTATGATGGAAGCTAAGGTCAAAATGGTTACATAACAGAGAGATTACAGTAGGCAAAATGGACACAAGGTATTTACAGAATAGTATATCGCGAAATTATGGCGATATTACTTAATAGCAAAAATCAATAGAATTGTTAACAGTAAGTACATGCTTTTATTAGTAGCACATATATAATGCTGTAACGGAAATATTATTGACAACATTTACCAATTCAATTCTCTAACTATTTTGAGGAAACAGAAAGAGAGAGAGAATATAAAAAGCGAAAAGACGAGATATTCTTATAATATTAGCATCAATTCGATAGCCGAGTCGATAAAGAAAGTCATTTAAAATGTATTTAGATGCTTTATTTCAACGCTTTAATAAAGAAATGGACATCTAATCAATGAGTATAGAAGAACATGTTAAATTTCAATACATTTGAAATATTTACGCAAGTAACTTAAAATATTAAACAATTTTTCATAATTGTTGTTGTATTTTTATATGTGCATAAAAGAGGAAAAAATTCTAACAATAGTATTGTAAATTGTTATATAACTAACTTTTCTAAAAATTCATTTATCAGATTGGATAAACTATTAAAGTGTCATTATTCAATATTATCCAAAACTCATTACTCGATGGATTGCACGGGTGATAAGCACTTCGTAAAACTACGTCAATCGAAGTTTTTTGAGCACAAAACTTGTACCGTTTTCTTCTTTCTATTGTTCCATCATTTTTATCATTATACAAAAGAAACGTACTGCTGCGCAGTATATGTGATTTGTAATTACATTATCGATAAATTATATCGTTTGTCAGTTTGTTTTTTTTTTTTCACATTCACTTTCCATTAGAATCAAAGCATCGATACGTTATCTAATATGCGGGTACGGCAACCGATTTGCGTTGGGTATATAAAGAGAGGAACGGCTAGTAACTGCAGCAGTTTTATGTGCACGCGCGATCTGACAACATCATATCAAGGCAATCGACAATCAGTGACTTTTCTCGCCGTCATGGATAATTGGATACTGTTGTCGATTTTAGCTAGCACTATCGCTATTTATTACTACTTTTTTAAGGACTTAAATTTCTTCAAGAAACATGGGATTAGACACGCACCACCGTGGCCTGTCGTGGGCAACATGGGGCCAGTATTCCTTCGTCAGTTATCATTGGCCGAAATCATTCAGAAAATCTACAATTTGAATCCAGACGCTAAATATGTCGGTTTCTTCGACAGCATGAATCCGGTAGTGATGATTCGCGACCCGGATCTCATCAAATCCATCGGCGTGAAGAACTTCGAGTCGTTTCCCGATCATCGCGCTTTTATCAACGAAGTTAATGATCCTCTATTTGGGAAGAATTTATTTTCGCTTCGTGGTGAAAAATGGCGAGATGTGAGATCTTTACTAAGTCCCGCTTTTACATCTAGTAAAATGAAAGCTATGTTTAAGCTAATGTCCGATTGTGCTGCCAGCTTTACCGAGTTCCTTTTTAAGTTGCCTGCCGATAAAAGTGTTATCGAGATGAAAGACTGCTTCACCAGATACACGAATGACGTAATCGCAACCTGCGCCTTCGGGATTAGCGTTGATTCTATGAGAAATCCTACTAACGAGTTCTACGTTTACGGAAAAGATGCTACGAGTTTTAGCACTCTGCGTACTATAAAATTCTATTTTATCAGAAGTATGCCTATTATCACCAAAATGTTGGGTATTAAATTCGTTGGTAATCGTGTAGGTCAATTTTTCAAGGATCTCGTAAGAAGCACGATACACACCAGAGACAAGCAGAATATCGTACGACCGGATATGCTACAACTGATGATGGAAAGTAGAGGAAAAAGAGGACCCGGAAAGGAACTGACTATCGAGGATATGACCTCGCAGGCGTTCATCTTCTTTTTTGGCGGCTTTGATACCGTTTCTACCTTGATGTGCTTCACTGTTCATGAAATTGCCGTTAATCCAACCGTTCAGACAAAACTACGTAACGAGATAGACGAGGTTCTAAAGAAAACGAACGGGGAATTAACCTATGAGGCGTTGAACGGAATGCAATATTTGGACGCTGTAATTGAGGAGAGTCTTAGAATGTGGTCCGTAGCGGTGGCTATAGATAGATTATGTGTGCAAGATTTCGAGTTACCGCCAGCGCTTCCCGGTGATAAGCCCTTCGTCGTGAAGAAAGGAACATATGTTTGGTTTCCTATTTACGGTATTCATCGGGATCCAAAGTATTTCGAGAAACCGGATGAGTTTTATCCCGAACGTTTTTTGGCCGAGAATAAGAAAAAAATAAATACTAATGCGTATATACCATTTGGACTCGGCCCGAGAATGTGCATAGGTAATAGATTTGCATTATTGGAAACCAAGGTCGTGATATTCCATTTATTGGCTCGTTGCGAATTGAAACCGTGCGCGAAAACTTCCCATCCTTTACAATTGAGCAAGGCAAGCTTCACCATGTTGGCAGAAGGAGGATTCTGGCTAAAAATTCAAGCGAGAAGTGATGCTCATGCTATTATATCTACAAGCGTTGTTAATGGTGATGCGACTAATGGCCATATTTAAATTTGTACGAATGTCGATAAAATATACATTTGTAAATATAAATTCAATGCCATTCTACTTTATTGAGAGAAATAATGCTAGAAAGATATATATATATCATAAATTGTATTAAATGCGTTTTTACACTTAGAAGTTCAAATTGTATATGTAAATATATAACAACGCAAAATATAAGATATTATTTTCCAATTAAATCTAAAAAAGTGTAAACACACATATAGTAGTTTCTTTATATTATAAGATGTACGAGTTGTTATATAAACATAACACGTAATCTGTAACTTTCTCTTTTCTCTCTCTTTTTCTCTATGTGCAAATAAATTAATTATTCATAAATAATAAATTTGATAAATATAAGATAAATATTCATAAACAATAATATAAAATATTAAGATGCGTAAAGAAAATAAAAAAATATTACCAAGAAATATAAAAATATAAGAAATACACATACAGATTGTGAAATTCAAATATAACTGATGCATAAAAATAACTGTTTTTAACTCGCGAACAGTACACTATTAAGCCATTGCTTTTGTATTTGAATGATTGTCAGAGTGAAGTACATTCAGCTCTACAGTATGATGGAAGTCAAGATCAAAATGATTACATTGCAATAAAAGCATCAAAGATTAAAATAAACAAAATGGACAGAGGGCAATTGCAAAATAGTGTATCGCGAAATTATGACGATAATAATATAAATCAAGAAAAACTGATAAGAGAGAATTATATATATGTGTTATTAAAGTTAAATATATGCAGTCATTAGTAAACATATATATAAATGTGTATAATGACAGAAATATTGTTGACACACACACACACATACATTAACCAATTCAATTTTCCAACTATTTGAGGACAGAGAGATTGAAACAATTGTTACAAATTTTATAATTTTAAATACATTATTAGCCATTTTTGAATTTGCACATTAGTTTTCATATTATAATAACTTTAATAATTCGGGCACACACATTTTTTTATATTTGTTAATAGACACAGACAATTAAAAAGAAAACAATAAAAAATTTATATTTCATATATGATATTAGAAACTATAAAGTCTGCAAATAATTCTTTGTTGAAAAATTTAATTTTAAATATATGTATCAAAGAATCTACTATTAAAAAGATATAATTATAGTTTTAAAATAGCACTTCTTTATATAAAAAATTACATATGATGTAATTTTATTGACATACATATACAGCATCATATAATTGACCTACTCTTCGATGTAACATTTACGTCATTAGATTTACGCGCAATTCCGCAAAACAACAAGATCATTATTCATAATTCGTCATTTCAATATCGACAAATAAGCATTATAAATTATAAACGATAGAGAGAGAAGGGGAGCAATAGTTTTTTAAATATCAAAATAAAGTTTATTTTACAATTTTATCAGATCCGTGAACGACCTGCACTTGCGCAATAGCAAACTTCATGATGTTATTTATATCGAGTATCAGACAAAATCAGCAATAAGAAATAGATCTTACAAACAAACGTAGATAAAAACTTCCCATCCTTTACAATTGAGCAAGGCAAGCTTCACCATGTTGGCAGAAGGAGGATTCTGGCTAAAAATTCAAGCGAGAAGTGATGCTCATGCTATTATATCTACAAGCGTTGTTAATGGTGATGCGACTAATGGCCATATTTAAATTTGTACGAATGTCGATAAAATATACATTTGTAAATATAAATTCAATGCCATTCTACTTTATTGAGAGAAATAATGCTAGAAAGATATATATATATCATAAATTGTATTAAATGCGTTTTTACACTTAGAAGTTCAAATTGTATATGTAAATATATAACAACGCAAAATATAAGATATTATTTTCCAATTAAATCTAAAAAAGTGTAAACACACATATAGTAGTTTCTTTATATTATAAGATGTACCATGATGTTATTTATATCGAGTATCAGACAAAATCAGCAATAAGAAATAGATCTTACAAACAAACGTAGATAAAAATATAAATTAGCTAAAATAACAAAATGTCTTTATATAACGCGCTGTTTTATATAAAATCAACAATAAATATACTTTTACATCAATAGTATCATATCAACAAGTAATTATAATTAATCATAATTATAAATAATAATTAATCTATAGATACCATTTTTTAATTATCATTATGTATTACATAAATATCATCAGTAAATAAAGAAATACTCAAAACTTATTGATTTGTAAAATATCAATGTTCTGTTAATACTAGTACATTAATCTTACGTAATGTCAGCGTTTACAAACTGCTTTTAATCAGAAAGATCCGTTGATATATTACGAGATATGATGTCGTATGAACAGTTGCCCGCAACAGCTCGTAGTAGCAACATCGCTAGTGCGCTAAATCAAATTTCGCCAGGCATTTCGCAAACAGATTCCGACGACAATTTGAAATAACATTCGTGTACCATGGAATACTGGTCGATACTGTTATCAATCGTGATTGGTGCACTTGGCATCCATTACCTGTTTAGAAATTACAATTTCTTCAAAAGACATGGTATTAATCATATATCGGTTGTTCCAATACTAGGCAGCTTGACATCGGTCGTATTTCGCCGAATATCATTCGTCGATTTCCTTCAAAAGATATACAATTCCAATCCAGATGCAAAATATTTTGGATTTTACGCCACGACGACTCCGATTTTTTTGCTTCGCGATCCAGAAATCATTAAGTCTATTCTTGTGAAGAATTTTGACGCGTTTCCCGATCGTCGCGGTTTCAGCGATTTGAACGAACCCTTGCTTGCGAATAATCTATTTTCTCTTCGTGGACAAAAGTGGCGGAACGTGCGAACTTTATTAAGCCCCTCTTTTACATCCAGCAAGATGAAAATGATGTTCACCTTGATGTCGGAATGCGCTGTGGACTTCTCTAATTTTCTGTCGACATCTATACTAGTGGATAACAGCGACATTGATGTGAAGGATGCCTTCGCTAAATACACAAATGATGTTATCGCTACGTGTGCTTTTGGGATCAAGATCAATTCTATGACGGATCCGACAAACAAATTCTATGTTTATGGCAAGGAGGCGATTAACTTCTTTAAAACTCGCCCTATCAAATTTCTTTTTCTTAGAGCCTTCCCGACGCTCGGGCGAATTATTAAATATTTATCAAATATTTAAATATTTTAAATGTTAATTTTGTTATTACATATTATATCCTATCTCGCGTAGCAATAGCAAAGAGAATCCGCGTTTTTATACGCGAATCGTCCAGTTAAGAATATTTTGTAGTATCGAATCTTTTAGTAACGATTGGATCAATCGATTTTTAATAGGTTTATAGATTAATAAGTTTAACAATTATATATATATTAATAAGCTTAAACAACTCTTTGCTGAAAAATTCTGTTCAAAATTTGTTAAAAATGTATTGTTAAAATTTACAACTGTAGTAATAGCATCTTTTTTATTAAAAAAACTACATATTACACAATTTTGTTAACATATGTATACACAGCGATACATTTCCTCATTCGGCTAATATCTGATGTGTTTATGCTTCGATGTAATCTTACGCAAATTTTATTAGATTTACATATAATTGCACAAAGCTGCACAATTATTATTATTCACTGTTTGTCGTTTCAATATCAACGAATAAGATAGAAGAGTAATAGTTCTTGTCACAGTAAAGTTTACGTTGCGCAATTTTTTATATTCAGACTCGTGAATAATCTGCCGCACAAAATGATTATGCATAAATTGCGATATCGTTATAATCGTGACAGTATCAGCATATCGTAATAGTATCGGCAAATAAATAGCGATAAAAAATGAATTTAACGGACAAATGCAGATAGGAAACTAAAGTCTGCTAAAATAACAAAGTGTCTTTATATAGCGTTATTTTGTACAGGATAAATTTTATTCGTATACAATTAAACTTCTCTTATTTATTGAATTCAAATAAAATATCTCCAGTAATATACACGCGCGCGTTTTCAAATTATAAAGACTACAATCGCCACTCGTGATGCCGAGAACATTACGCGTCCGGATATGATCCAATTGATGATGGATGTCAGAGGCAAAGAAGGACGAAGAGAGCTTGATCTCGACGACATGATCGCGCAAGCATTCATCTTTTTCTTCGGTGGCTTCGACACTAGCTCGACCGCAATGTCCTTCGCAGCTCACGAACTTGCGGTTAACACAGATGTTCAAATTAGGTTGCGGCAGGAGATCGACAAGGTTCTCGAGGAGACGAACGGGGAAGTGACTTATGAAACTATTAACCGCCTCGAATATTTAGATCTGGTGATAAACGAGGTTCTCAGATTATATCCACCAGTCTCTGTTCTAGAAAGAGTATGCGACAAGGCTTATGAATTACCACCCGCATTACCAGGCGAGAAGCCTTTCATCATGAAGAAAGGTATGACTTTTTGGATTCCGCTTTTCGCGATCCATCGTGATGCAAAGTACTATGATGATCCGGAAATGTTTCGTCCTGAAAGATTTGTAGACGACAAGATGTACCACAACTCTTCATACTATATGCCATTTGGATTAGGGCCGAGAATGTGTATAGCCAACAGATTTGCCTTGCTAGAAGTGAAAGTTCTGCTGTTTCACCTATTAGCGCGATGTGAGCTAAAACCATGCGCGAAAACTACATTGCCATTGAAATTTAACAAGAAAGATCTGACATTAATGCCGGAAAATGGATTCTGGTTGAATGTTCGGCGTAGAAGCGATATGCATCCTGTGCTTAAATCTACATTGGTTAACGACGCTAATTCTTAGAAAACAATTTAAGTAAAAATAACAACAAATCATTTTTTACCGAATAATGATATGCTAGATGATAAAAATCATAGCATTCTTGTAACTCAATGACAATCGTAATGGCAGTATAGCTTGTTTGAATTTGCGCTATTACATGTTATTTCATATTGTAAGCGCTCATAAAAACCGTTTTCTTTTTTTAGATAATTTTTACTGTAAGCAGATAAAAACTATTTGTTTGGGCAAAGGTTAAGAATTAACAATTTAATTTATTAAAATTTAATATTAAATATTTATCAAATATTTAATCAAAGCTTTTGCATCAGAAAGATACGTGGATATATTACGAGATATGATGTTGTCATACGAACAGTTGCCCGCAGCGGCTGGTGGTAACAATATCGCTAGTGCGCTAAATCAAGTTTTGTCAGACATTTCGCAAACAAATTGCAACGACAATTTGAAATAACAATCGTGCATCATGGAATACTGGTCGATACTATTATTAATCGTGATTGGTGCACTTGGCATCCATTATTTGTTTAGAAATTACATTTTCTTCAAAAGACATGGTGTCATTCATATATCGGCTGTTCCAGTACTAGGCAGCTTGGACTAAATATTTGGATACTATTTATTAATTATCGTATATGTATTTTATAAATATCATCAGAATAGATAAAGAAATACTCACGATTCACTGATCGAGCAAAGTATCAATATCTCCATCAATAGCACAACCATTAATCTTATATAATGTCAGTTTCAAAGCTTTTGCATCAGAAAGATACGTGGATATATTACGAGATATGATGTTGTCATACGAACAGTTTAGAAATTACAATTTCTTCAAAAGACATGGTGTCATTCATATATCGGCTGTTCCAGTACTAGGCAGCTTGGGATCGGTTGTATTTCGCCGAATATCATTCGTCGATTTCCTTCAAAAGATATACAATTTCAATCCAGACGCAAAATATTTTGGATTTTACGTCACGACGACTCCGACTTTTTTGCTGCGCGATCCAGAAATAATTAAGTCTATTCTTGTGAAGAATTTTGACTCGTTTCCCAATCGTCGCGGTTTCAGCGATTTGAACGAACCCTTGTTTGCGAAAAATCTGTTTTCTCTTCGCGGGCAAAAATGGCGGGACGTGCGAAATCTATTAAGTCCCTCTTTTACATCCAGCAAGATGAAAATGATGTTCACCTTGATGTCGGAATGTGCTGTGAACTTCGCTAATTTTCTTTCTACATCTATACCAGCGGAAAAAAGAGACATGGACATAAAAGAAGCTTTCACTAAATATACAAATGATGTCATCGCTACGTGTGCTTTTGGGATCAAGGTCAATTCTATGAAGGATCCGACAAACAAGTTCTATGTTTATGGCAAAGAGGCGACTAACTTCTTTAGAACTCGCCGTTTCATATTTCTTTTTCTTAGAACCTTCCCGACACTCGGACGAATTCTCAATGTAAAACTTATAGACAGTCATGTATCGGATTTCTTCAAAGAAATTATAAAGACTACAATCGCCACTCGTGATGCCGAGAACATTACCCGTCCGGATATGATCCAATTGATGATGGATATCAGGGGCAAAAAAGGTCGGAGAGAGCTTGATATCGACGAAATGACCGCGCAAGCGTTTATCTTTTTTTTGGGTGGCTTCGAGACCAGCTCAACTGTGATGTCCTTTGTAGCTCATGAAATTGCGGCTAACCCAGACATTCAGACCAAGTTGCGGCAAGAGATCGACAAGGTTCTGAAAGAGTCAAACGGGGAAATAACATATGAAACTATTAATCGGCTCGAATATTTAGATCTGATAATAAAAAGAGTGTGCGACAAGGCTTATGAATTACCACCCGCATTACCAGGCGAGAAACCTTTCACTATGAAGAAGGGTATGATTTTTTGGATTCCGGTTTTCGCGATCCATCGTGATGCAAAGTACTATGATGATCCGGACAAGTTTCAACCTGAAAGATTTGTAGATAACAAGATGTACCACAACTCTTCTTACTATATGCCATTTGGATTAGGACCAAGAATGTGTATAGCCAACAGATTTGCTTTGCTAGAGGTGAAAGTCCTGCTGTTTCATCTATTAGCGCGATGTGAGCTGAAACCATGCGCGAAAACTACATTGCCATTGAAATTTAACAAGAAAGATCTGGCGTTAATGCCGGAAAATGGATTCTGGTTGAATGTTCAGCGTAGAACCGATATTCATCCTGTACTTGAATCTAATATCTAACGGTGTTGCTAAATCTTAGAAAAAATTTTAAATAATACTAATAAGAAAGTTTTTATGTCAAAAAAATTTTGTTTATGTGATATTCCCTGATAGAGACTATGACATTTTTGTAACTTAATACGAGTTATTTTATATTATAAGCATCCGTAAAAAAGATTGTTAATTTGTATTAACTGTTGTTTGTTTTGATAAAATTCGTATTGTAAATGGTTATAAAAATTGTTTTTGTGTTTAACAAATTTGGCAATCCAAGATCTTACTCGCTCTAATTACATCTGTAATTGTACGAATTTTTAGATTCATGTAATTTACATCTACATAAAAATGCTTAAATCAGAGTTTCGGTGGAAAAGAGAATACTTTTTAATGTGCATAGACATATATAATTTAAGAAAATTATTGCGTTATAAATTATTCTTGATTGTTTTAATCACGAAATACACGCACACATATCATATATTGGAAAAATAAAATTCGACAATAAAATTTGAATGACGAATTTCACGATAAATCTAGAAATAAATTTTAATCGCAGTTTTTTATTTTTGATATTTACTTCAGCGTATATTTTGTAATTATTATATGGAAAGAGAATAGTGTAAAAAACTCCAAAAATAATTATAAAAGTGTTTTTGCCACACACCCTGCTCAATTTCTTCGTAGCGAGACAATGCATCGTTTCGAGCCACCCTTATGATCCCTACTTCATCAATTCCTGGCCCTTCTCCAACATGCGGTCCCTTTCCAACGGCGGTAAGTGAATTAGATTAGAGAAGGGGTACTTTTATCGAGTCAGGATACTTGCTCGGAGATACACCTCGGGGAGTTGAAAATGGTCATTTTTACCAGTGATATAGTCTTGCACTATATATAAACTGTTTATTATATATATATATAATATTATGATTTTTATTGAATTTGCAAAATGTTTTTTCGTTAAAAGGATACGGGATTATTTGCTAAATATATTATTAATATCAATAGCTTTTGTCAATTACTTACTTTTTCCTAATATTTATGACTTGTATATTTTCATAGAAAAAGAAATAGTTAATAATTGTGTAATACCTGATTATAAATTACGAGATGACGAATAAATATATAAAAACTGGTCGTCCTAGTCAGCCGATCATTATAATGCATTAAGCGCGTAGAGAACTTGTCCGATGATTATCAGTCGGCCGCTAATTATCTAAATTACAAGGATCTCTCGTAGCATCGAAGGATAACCGTATCTAATGACCAAGTGGATCAAATGCAACAAAGTGTCCAGTTGGCTCGCTATAGCAAGCACCACGGCAAGTGTCACGCGAGCGCCTTATTTAATAGAAGTCGGTCTGTGTCCGTCGAGAGGTCCGCCGCGCGCGCGATTCCTTTGGAAGAGCAGCGACCGTCGCGTCGGGGAGAAGCGCACGCTCCCGACCGCTCATTAAAGTGGCATTCACACAAGCTCGTATCTCGTCTCTGGAAACGCCCAATCACGTAGTTGAATACATTATACGACTGTTATCCGCCGTGCAACTGCGAAAAGAAATAGTTAATAATTGTGTAATACCTGATTATAAATTACGAGATGACGAATAAATATATAAAAACTGGTCGTCCTAGTCACCGATCATTATAATGCATTAAGCGCGTAGAGAACTTGTCCGATGATTATCAGTCGGCCGCTAATTATCTAAATTACAAGGATCTCTCGTAGCATCGAAGGATAACCGTATCTAATGACCAAGTGGATCAAATGCAACAAAGTGTCCAGTTGGCTCGCTATAGCAAGCACCACGGCAAGTGTCACGCGAGCGCCTTATTTAATAGAAGTCGGTCTGTGTCCGTCGAGAGGTCCGCCGCGCGCGCGATTCCTTTGGAAGAGCAGCGACCGTCGCGACGGGGAGAAGCGCACGCTCCCGACCGCTCATTAAAGTGGCATTCACAAGCTCGTATCGCGTCTCTGGAAACGCCCAATCACGTAGTTGAATACATTATACGACTGTTATCCGCCGTGCAACTGCGCGCGAGAACGTGCAACCAATGCAGATCCTCTTTGGTCAATGCGAGAGAGACCTCTCGCTCGGCGCACAGAATCCCGTCTATTATACCGCCAGATCGGGAAACTCTCTGTCACGAGATGAGTCTATATATAATACTTACAAAGGGAAAATCTTATAATTCTATAGCTTTCGGATTAAACTTGTACCTGTATAACTGCTATTACCTATTTTTAATATTTTTAATAGAACTACTTCTTATTTCTGAATTATTCTTTGTTTGATTTCTATTCGAGATTTCCTTAAACATCGAGTATTGATGGTTTCTATCGTATATTACAAGCTGTTATAATTTAAGGGACTTTCCGGATTACTCTTCAGATATGTAAACGAATAATAAAATCTTATCTTTCATTTAATTTTAAATAAACTTTACTTTGGATTTCTAATTTGAAAATTAATTATAAAGATATATATATAGATTATTGATAATTTGTGACAAATAATGATGAATCCTCGAAATTTTCGAAGAATACACATATAGAATAGCTTATTTTATATGGAAAATTTGTCTTACAAATTTATTATGCACGCATAACAGAAAGATTATAATACTGAAGTGTCCATGAATTACGTCACATATTTGCACGTTGCGGTACGATGATCAATTTCGTCTCTCTTTCTCTCTCTTTTATCTATCCTTCGCTCTCTCATTTTTATAACTATCATGCGGAGGAGTCTATTACGCAGTTTGACGTAATAAGCCAAGCTATTTTCGAATGCTGATGGGATGTAATCGAGCGGTAGATGTGTTATATATATTCAAAAAAATATGTATGTCTCATAGTTTACAATGTAAGACAAATATATGTATATATTTCGCAATTTATATATAAGTTAATAAATTTTTGCGATATGATATTGTCTACATGATAACAGATATAGTGCTATAATAATATATAATGTATAAATAATATACTATAACACATTATATATATACTTTGTAATTTCGTTATTCATGTCAACTTTGTTCATTTAATGTTTCTGCATTTGTAACGATACACATTTTTTATTCTTCATTATAGTAATGTAATCATTAATCTTCTACTTTGATTAAGGCTTGCCTGTATCATGCATCTTTATTCTAGCATAATAAATTACGAAAACAACCAGCTTACTATCAAGTTCAATGGAATGTAGTGGAAAAATACAAGTATTCATTAAGACAGCAATAATGAAATGTGCATTATTATATATTGTGTATATTACAAAAAAAGATCATTTGCATTATAAAATTGCAAGTTCATCGATGATTACGAGACGAGATAAAAAGCAACACTCGATCTTTAAATCTTCTCGTGTTTCTTTCCTTTGATCTCTAATTTTCGATTAATTTTTAATCTTTTCTTTTTTATCATTTTTTATCAATAAAAATAACAATTTTTCCTTAACACGTATATAAGAAGTACATTCGATGAAAAAATATTACAAGAATAATATTATAAAAGAGAATTGAATCCCCAAATTGATTAGAAAGTTTATAAATGATAGAGATATATCTTTATCAATATTAGATAAGAGTGGATAGGTAGATACTTATCTATTTTTTTTTAGATTAATAAAAAAAAAATAAAAAATTCTACAGTTTCTATATCTCTCTTGAAAATAAACGCAGCATATCACTTTCATGAAATATGTCTCTAAAAAGTTGTAGGAAAGAAGTGTAATAGAAACTGATTTTAATATGACAGAAAAATAGCAATAGAAAAAGTTTTATAGAAAATGCTATTTACTATATACAGATGCTAATTGAAACATAATAACGTGAATGATCACTAAAGATAAATATGACATTGTCGAGTCATGATAATCAACTTCCTCTCTCTTTATCTTGTTTCTTTCTTCTATATATATCATATGGAGGAATTCGTTGCGTAATTTGATGCAACGCGCGATGCAATTTTTCTGATGTTGGTTCAATGGAACCAAATAAATGTAGGACGCAAAAATATATCGAAATATATATGTATGTTAACAAATTATTGAAATATATATTCTATAATATTTTTAATATGTATGTTACACACACATAATTTTTTTAACTCGTTTATTAGTGTTAATTTTTTGTATATAAAATTTTTTTTTATATATAATAATGATACATTTGGTCACAATGTGTATGTTAAGTAGCCATTAATTTTAGCTCTTTTTAATAATACTTGTCCGTATAATATATTTTTAATAACATATTTTTATTTTAATATATGTAACAACTTGCGAAAATATTTTTTGCGAAATGTAACGGAATATTGTAAAGAAGTGCAAATAATTTTCACGAAAGTAATAATTATGCCAATGTCTAAAAGAATATAATTGTTGTTACAAATTGAACTATAATTACGATACCAGATAAAAAATAACATTTGATCTTTAAATTTTAATCTTTTTATGCTCGCTCCTTTATCGGTCTCTCAGTAATATACGAGAAATAAAAATAATTCTGTTTTTAGCACATCAAAAATATTTCTGATGCAATATGATGCCATTTTTTGAACTTGTAGCAACATAAATCTTCTTATCTCAAAAATAAGGAAGAAATGTCCTTTATGTTCATTTTGGTTTTGGTGTTTTCAATTTTATCTGAAATTTAATTAAAGATATATAAAGCTACATCTATATAAGATTTTCTAATTCTTACATATATTTCTATTAAGATTATTTTATTTTATAGAATCAATATTTTAAATCTCTAAGATTATTTTGAAAATATTAGCGATTATTTTTAAAATCTGAAATATCTCCAAGACTTCTTTTTATTTCATAGTATCAATATTAAATTATTTATAATATAAAAAATATACTTGAATACAAAATTGTTATATCTTAAGATTGTCAATCACACATATATTTTGTATGAAAACTTCAAGTAAAAATTAAAAATAATTTTCTTTTAAATTAATATCACCGGTAAACAAAATACCAAGAAATATTTTTTATATTGAAAAAATTCAGTAATTTTCAAATTTTCAAAATGTAATAATTAAAAATATTGATGAAATTTTCTTACAGCTGATGTGGTGTCTCATTGACTGCATTAGTAGCAATAATGCAATGAATATTTTTCCTTGGTGATACACCCAACCAGAAGCCGCCATCGGGCCGCGGATTGAAGCCATCCTTGGAAAGCTTGAGCGGCATCGATGTCTTCTTGCAAGGCTTGAGATCGCAACGTGCCAATAGATGAAACAGCAAAACTTTCGTCTCCATTAAAGCGAATCTATTACCTATGCACATTCTGGGCCCCAGTCCGAAGGGTAGATAGGCTCCGCAGTTGAGACTCTCTTTTTTTCGTTCACCAAGAAACCGTTCGGGATCGAACTTTTCCGGCTCTTCAAAGTACTGCGGATCTTGATGAAGTCCATAAATCGGTATCCATATGCCTTCTCCTTTTTTTATAGTAAAAGGCTTCGTCCCTGGCAATGTCGGAGGCAACTCAAATGATTTTACGCATATTCTGTCTAATGATGGAATCGGATACATTCTGAGAGCTTCGCTAATCACGGCATCCAAGTATTCCATGTTATTAACTATTTCGTATGGTGCTAATCCATTTGACTCTTCCAACACCTTATCAATCTCATCTTGAAGTTTTTTTTGTATTTGCGCATTCACCGCGATCTCGTGAGCGGCAAAGCACATCAAGGTCGAAGTGCTATCGAAGCCGCCAAAGAAGAAAATAAACGCTTGAGATACCATATCCTCGATAGACAGTTTTGGTTTGCCCTCTTTACCCCTAGTCTCCATCATTAATTGCAGCATGTCTGGACGGACGATACCATTCTCGTCCCTTGTTTTTATGGTGTCTTCTACGAGATCTCGAAAGAAATTCGCTATTTTGTCACGAATAATTCTTAATTGAAGTATTTTTGCCAGCCAAGGAAAGCTTCTATAGATGTACAACTTTATAAGGGTGATTCTGCCGAAAGTGGTCGCCTCCTTGCCGTAAACGTAGAATTCATTGTTCGGGTTTCTCATAGAATCAACACTAATACCAAAAGCGCAAGTAGCTATTACGTCATTTGTGTATCTCGTAAAGGCGTCTTTTATTTCCATCATCCTCTTTTCTGTTGGCATTTGCGCCAAATAATTGCTAAATTCGGCGGCGCATTTCGACATCAGTTTAAACATACTTTTCATCTTGCTGGACGTGAAAGCTGGACTCAGTAAAGGCCGTATTTGTCGCCATCTCTCTCCTTTAAGGGAAAACAGATTTTTGCCGAATAATGGATCTTGATGTTCCTCGATGAAAGTGCGATGATCCGGAAACAGGTCGAAGTTTTTCAGCGCGATAGATTTAATAAGATCGGGATCGCGAATCACTATAATTGGAGTTGTCATATCAAACATGCCGACGTACTTGGCTTCAGGATGTAAATCGTACATATTTTTCGCAACATCAAATAAATTTTCACGACGGAAGATAATTCCTGCCATATTCCCGAGTATGGGAAAAGGCGTTTTATACGGTATGCCACGTTTCTTGAAAAAGTTCACATTTTTGAAGATGTAATAATAGAGGCCTAGAGCGCCCGCTATCACCGTCAGAGCGATTAAGTATACCATGTTGAAAAAAGAAATCGCTTTATTAAATTAGTATACACATATTATGTAGTTCTGAATATAATCCAACTTTTGCACTTTATCAAATATCTTTTTTTTTCTTATGCAATTAAATGCGGAGACAACTTTACGCGTCGAGATTCGACGATCGACTGCTGCTACATCGAAATGATGTTTCATATATATACGTTCACAACGTTTACGTGATCATCATTGCTTACGCAAGAGCAGTTACCGGCAGTATCCTGACAAATTAAGATATCTAACTCAGATATCTCCGTCGTTGTTGATACAATTTGATTAGATTGAGATAAAATGTATTGGATTGGCAGTATCATCTTTCATATTTTTAAATATATTTTTGCTTTTTGCACATTGCTAATGTTTAACGTGAATAATATCGATCAACAATTAGTCAACAGAAAGATGACAAGATTGCGTATTACTAGAATAACTATTTCCGACGATCTTGAACATATGTATCATTAATCAATGATCAACGATGGAGCGAATAAAACATTTTCTTTATAATCAGGATTACTGGCGTCGCTAGAATGATTTGCAAAATCGCCGCACGATCTCGTCTCTCATCTCTATTGTCGAATCATGATGATCGACTTCCTCTTTCTTTCTTTTGTTTCTTTCTTGTATGATTGTATGTGTATTATATGGAGGAATTCGTTGCATAATTTGATGCAACGCGCCAAGATTTTTTCTAATGTTGGTTCAATGGAATCAAATAAATGTAGGACTCAAAAATATGTCGAAATATATATGTATGTTAACAAATTGTTGAAATATATATACTATAATTATATTTCTAATATGTATGTTACACACACATAATTTTTTTAACTTGTTTATTAATGTGTTAATTTTTTATATTGGGTCGAACGGAAAGTTCGTGCCGTTTTTTCGGTCTTCATCTGTTAGCAAAAAATGGCACAAACTTTCCGTTCAACCCAATATAAAATGTTTTTTTATATATAATAATGATATATTTGATCATATTGTATATGTTAATTAGCCATTAATTTTAGCTATTTTTAATAATACTTGTCTGTATAATATATTTTTAATCATATATAGTTTTATTTTAATACATGTAACAACTTGCAAAAAAACTTTTTGCAAAATGTAACGGAATATTGTGAAAAAGTGCAAATAATTTTTACGCCAATAATAATCATGCCAATGTCTATACTAAAAGAATATAATTGTTGTTACAAATTGAACTATAATTACGATACCAGATAAAAAATTGCATTTAATCTTTAAATTTTAATCTTTTTATGCTCGCTCCTTTATCGGTCTCTCAGCAATATGTAAGAAATAAAAACAATTTTGTTTTTAGCACATCAAGAATATTTCTGATGCAATATGATGCCATTTTTTGAACTTGCAACAACACAAATCTTCTTATCTCAAAAATAAGGAAGAAATGTCCTTTATGTTTATTTTGGTTTTGGTGTTTCCAATTTTATCTGAAATTTAAAAAAAATATATAGAGTTACTATCTAGGATTTTCTTATTCTTACATATATTTCTATTAAGATTATTTTATTTTATAGAATCAATATTTTAAATCTCTAAGATTATTTTAAAAATATTAGCGATTATTTTAAAAATCTAAGATATCTCCAAGACTATTTTTTGTTACATAGTATCAATATTAAATTATTTATAATATGAAAAATATACTTGAATACTAAATTTTTATATCTTAAGATTGTCAATTACATATATTTTGTATGAAAACTTTAAAAAAGTAACAACTAATAATAATTCTTTAAAAATTAATATCACTAGTAAACAAAATAGCAAGAAATATTTTTTATATTGAAAAAATTCATTAATTTCCAAATTTTCAAAATGTAATTAAAAATATTGATGAAATTTTCTTACAGCTGATGTGATGTCCCATTGACTGCATTAGTTGCAATAGTGTGATGAATATTTTTTCTTGGTGATATATTCAACCAGAAGCCGCCTTCGGGCCGCATATTGAAGCCATCCTTGGAGATCTTGAGTGGTATCGATGTCTTCTCGCAAGGTTTGAGATCACAACGTGCCAATAGATGAAATAGCAAAACTTTCGTCTCCATTAAAGCGAATCTATTACCTATGCACATTCTGGGCCCCAGTCCGAAGGGTAGATAGGCTCCGCAGTTGAGACTCTCTTTTTTTCGTTCACCAAGAAACCGTTCGGGATCGAACTTTTCCGGCTCTTCAAAGTACTGCGGATCTTGATGAAGTCCATAAATCGGTATCCATATGCCTTCTCCTTTTTTTATAGTAAAAGGCTTCGTCCCTGGCAATGTCGGGGGCAACTCAAATGATTTCACGCATACTCTATCTAATGCTGGAGCAACCGGGTACATTCTGAGAGCTTCGTTAATCACAGCGTCCAAGTATTCCATGTTATTAACTATTTCGTATGGTGCTAATCCATTTGACTCTTCCAAGACCTTATCAATCTCATCTTGAAGTTTTTTTTGTATTTGTTCATTCACCGCGATCTCGTGAGCGGCAAAGCACATTAGCGTCGAAGTGGTATCGAAGCCGCCAAAGAAGAAAATGAACGCTTGAGATACCATATCCTCGATAGACAGTTTTGGTTTGCCCTCTTTACCCCTAGTCTCCATCATTAATTGCAGCATGTCTGGACGGACGATACCATTCTCGTCCCTTGTTTTTATGGTGTCTTCTACGAGATCTCGAAAGAAATTCGCTATTTTGTCACGAATAATTCGTAAGTTAAATATTTTTGCTATCCAAGGCAAGCTTCTAAAGATATACATCTTTATTAAAGCGATACTGTTGAAAGTGGTCGCTTCCCTGCCGTAAACGTAAAATTCATTATTCGGGTTTCTCATAGAATCAACACTAATACCAAAAGCGCAAGTAGCTATTACGTCATTTGTGTATCTCGTAAAGGCGTCTTTTATTTCCATCATCCTCTTTTCTGTTGGCATTTGCGACAAGTAATTGCTAAATTCGATGGCGCAATTCGACATCAGTTTAAACATACTTTTCATTTTGCTGGACGTAAAAGCTGGACTCAGTAAAGGCCGTACTTGTCGCCATCTCTCTCCTTTAAGGGAAAACAGATTTTTGCCGAATAATGGATCTTGATGTTCCTCGATGAAAGTGCGATGATCCGGAAACAGGTCGAAGTTTTTCAGCGCGATAGATTTAATAAGATCGGGATCGCGAATCACTATAATTGGAGTTGTCATATCAAACATGCCGACGTACTTGGCTTCAGGATGTAAATCGTACATATTTTTTACAAGATCAAGTACATTTTCACGACGGAAAATTGTTCCTGCCATATTACCGAGTATGGGAAAAGGCGTTTTATGCGGTATGCCATGTTTCTTGAAAAAGTTCACATTTTTGAAGATATAATAATAGAGGCCTAGAGCGCCCGCTATCACTGTCAGAGCGATTACGTATACCATGTTGAAAAAAGAAATTGCTTTATTAAATTAGTATACACATATTATGTAGTCCTGAATATAATCCAACTTTTACACTTTATCAAATATCTTTTTTTTTTTTTTCTTATGCAATTAATAGCGAAGATAGTATGCGGAGACAACTTTACGCGTCGAGATTCGACGATCGACTGCTGCTACATCGAAATGATGTTTCTTATATATACGTTCACAACGTTCACGTGATCATCATTGCTTACGCAAGAGCAGTTACCGGCAGTATCCCGACAAATTAAGATATCTAACTCAGATATCTCCGTCGTTGTTGATACAATTTGTTTAGATTGAGATAAAATATATTGGATTGGCAGTATCATCTTTCATATTTTTAAATATATTTTTGCTTTTTGCACATTGCTAATGTTTAACGTGATTATCGTGATTTACGCCGATCAACAGTTGGTCAATGGAAAGATGACAAGATTGCTTATTAGAATAACTATTTCCGACGATCTTGAACACGTGTATGATTAATCATTGATCAATGATGGAGGGAATAAAAGATTTTTTTTTTTATAATCAAGATTACTGGCGTCGATAGAATGATTTGCAAAATCGCCACACGACCTCGTCTCTCATAAACCTCTTTATCATGTTTACTTTATTTATTTTATAAGTTTATACGTATATAATATATTGTCTATTGATATAATATAAAATATGCCCGTGGTCTCCCATTTTCGTAGGTTTTGAATAGCTTTCAATATTCGTATTCAGTATAAAGATTAACTTACAACTAAGGTACTTAATTTGTATTTGTGAGCGGTTGTGTAGATTATCGTTTCTCCCTTGGCACAATGCTCAACCAAAAACCGCCTTCGGCCCGCATCGAAAATCCACCCTTTTTTAGTTTCAACGGTATCGGAGTTTTCTCGCATGGCTTTAAATCACAACGAGCCAATAGATGAAATAGCATAACTTTCGTCTCCAGCAACGCAAATCTGTTACCGATGCACATTCTTGGTCCTAATCCGAATGGATAATAAGCATTGAGATTACACTCGCTCCCTCTGTTTTCATCCAGGAATCTCTCAGGCTTGAATTTCTCCGGCTCCGGAAAGTACTTGGGATCGTGCTGGAGGCCGTAAAAAGAGATCCAGATTAACATTCCTGCCTTCACGAGAAATGGTTTCGCATCTGGCAATGTAGCGGGCAACTCAAAGTCTTTCGTGCACACCCTATCCGTCATCAATTGCACCGGATACATTCTAAGAGTCTCGTTAATCGTAGCATTGAGATACGCCATTCCGTTGATTGTCTCGTAGGATGGTTGACCGTTCGTATCTTCCAAAATCTTATCGATTTCATTTTGCAGTTTCTCCTGGACATGTGGATTGACGGTAATCTCGTGCGCTAAGAAACTCATCAAGGTCGAGCTACTGTCGAAACCAGCGAAGAAAAAGATGAACGCCTGCGATGTCATGTCCAGAATGGTTAGTTCTCTCCCAGGCTCTCTTTTTCCTCTACTATCCATCATCAGCTGGAGCATGTCCGGTCGAATGATATTTTTCTCATCTCTGATCTTTATGGTGTCAGCTATCAGATTTATAAAGAATGCGTTGGTACGTTCATTTATCATCTTAAGATTTAACAGACGCATGAGCCACGGCATGTGTTGGTACAGCAGGATTTTTATAAGAGCGATCTTGTTAAAATTTGTCGCTTTTGTGCCGAACGTGTAGAAATCGTTGCCCGGGTCTCTCATCGAATCCACGCTAATGCCAAAAGCACACGTGGCGATCACATCGGCAGTGTATCTCGAGAAAATGTCCTTCATTTCCATAATGCGTTTCTCAGACGGCACTTTTACCAAATACTCCGAAAAATTTACGGCACACTCGGACATCAATTGAAACATAGCTCTCATTTTGCTAGACGTAAAAGAAGGACTCAAAAGCGTCCTGACGTCACGCCATTGATCTCCGCGAAGTGCGAGCAGATTTTTTCCGAAAAGCGGATCTTGGGCATCGCTGCCGAAGAATATGTGATCTTGAAACGAGTCGAAATTTTTGATACCGATAGACTTGATCAATTCGAGATCACGTAACACGACGACCAATTGCGAGAAATTAAAGAAACCAATATACTTAGCATCGGGATGAAAATTGTATATTTCTTTATTTACCGCGGCAAAACTTTTTGGACGTACAAATATTTCCCAACATCTTTCTAACACGAACGGCGGCCTTTTACATGGAATCCCGTGCTGCTGAAAAACGTTCGATCGTTTGCGGGACGAGAAATAATAATAAACAGTGAGTACGCCGGCTAATATCGATAAGACTATCGTCCAGTATTCCATAATAAACTAACTTAATCGAGATACTCGATTGTTCCTTTCGTCCTGGAATAAAGTCAAATATTAGTGTAAAATGAAAATTTGTGTCAATATCAATGTTCGCGATTGTGTGCGAAATACCCTCAAGTTATAATCCAATGCAATATGTTAAGCGCGATTGTTCTGTCTAGTCAAAGCGATCTGCCCACTTGGAATCCTCATGCACGACTACTCGTAACGATGCGTTGCTGTCGCTCGCTAAATGGCTCGTTATGTCATGCTTTATGACGTCATACGATATTTTCACATCAGACTTAATATCTTTATATTTTATAATGTGTGATACGTGTATCATTTTAAACAAGATATGTTTAATTCATATGAAGTTTGTTTCCAATAGATAAGAGTATATCGTTAAAAGAAGTTGTTTACGATATAAATATTTAAATACTTAATATTCGCGATATAAATATTTAAAAATATAAAATAGCTAATGAGTGAATGACACACAAATATCATTTAATTTGATTGGAAGCTTTGTATTGTCTAATCTGCGGTAGCTCTTGTATATAGGCAACGATGTTTTTCTATTACGCAACGGCCTTGAGCCTTGTCATCAACGAGAAATTGTCATAGCGGTTAAACGATACGCACCGCGTGACGATTCATGAGTCAGATCAAAGTTGCAAATACTACGCAGAAATAAACTTAAGTAGGTTCGCTTATATATCGACAAATAACCGATCGAGCAATGTCTATATCATCTTGTACGCAGATGGCGTAAACTTCTTTGTACGTAGTTATCGCTCGCGATCCCTAAGAATCTATTTCTCTACGTGTGCAGTATCCTAAATTAGATTTTTCTTTGTCGCCACATGCCGATATATAGTACTGTTGATCATTGCATCGCTTCGTTTCCCGCCCTCCCATCGCGCTACAAAATATATGCATAAAATCTTTGTCGTCTTCAATTTCCCGTTTCTTTTCTCTCGCTGCTTGTCAGCATTGTATTTGCTCCAGCATCGTTTTTGTAAAATACATTGAACGATCTTTATGTTCATCTGTCGCAAATTATTAAGTACGCGAGATTAATCGCCATCGATACTGCGATTGATTTCGTATCGATGCGAATCATGTTCAAAACCGCATCGTTCGCTAATCATCGACTATAGTTGCGCTAAAATCTCAATGCTATCATCTCTAACGCTAAGCTACATATCTCTCCTCGTGATCGAACACGTGACATTTGCGTAATCGAGTGAGCGTATAGAAATATATACCGCTTTGTAACCCTAAAACTAGATACTCTCAAAGTTTCTCTCTCGTCATAGTCATCCCGTGCTCGTCATTTTATGTGTTGACAAAATAAATGTCCGATTTCCAGCCTAGGATCCATCGATACCGTCGCTATTTAGTCGCGACCGAACACGTAAGCCATCCGGCTCGCGTAATCAGATCACCTTCCGCGCTACGTAAATTACTGTAATTAGCAACGTGCGTCTAACCCGTCTGCGAAATCAGGATATTCCCGGTGTCCGCTGCAATTTCATCCGTTGTTATCGTTACGCTCTAATCACCATGAGCGTTCCATTACGCCCCGGTTGATTAATCTACCCGACGCTACACTCACGTGAGAAAAAATAGAGAGAAAGGATTTTTACGTAAAAAAAAAAAAAAAAAAAAAAAAGAAAAAGATGCACTACTCATTTACACGATAATTCGCTTGATTTTTAATATCGATATTCGGGAACCTGTTCCCGAATCGTGCATATCTGAGAATTAATCCCGAGGATGCTCCAAACATTGCGAAATGGTATTATCCGTACGGTCGGAGATTATGAATTTATTCTCATATGGTATATACGCGCTATTCGGTACGAAATGTGCCTTTGACGCAAACTGATTTACCGCGTTTATATATACATACATAGATTTATATACAAAATTGTGCATTATTCGTGAGCTTATTACCACCCTCAGCTGCAATAAGCAATCGAAATATTCACGGATAAATATTTCACACTGTAAATTTTTTAAAGGTCGGAGGATAAGCATTAATAGAATTAAAAGAAACGTAATCTCGCGCCGCTCTCCGTATTTGTCGGATATTTTTTTGCACGACGGAAAAATGAAACGTGTGCTTGAGTTAAACGTCTCTCTTCGTGGAAAAAACTCGCGAGTGAAGAAATTTTCTTATTTGATCTTGACTGAACCACACCTGAAATACATTTCATTTCCGTAAAAAAATTAAAACATATATGGAAAGAGTAGTTTTTTTCATTTTTCGCAAAACGCATAATCTCCCATCAATATATAAAGATTTTAATTTTCTATAACTTTTCTGACTTTCTAATCACTAATCTTAATTAAAATGTAGATTTCGTAGTTAGATGATAAAAGTGTTCGATAAAAAAAAATGACCATTAGAACGTTAATATAGTATGTAGGACGCAAATCAGATCCATCATTTGAGACATTTAACACGAAAAAATTGCGGAAAGGCGAGAGATGTCTGTCTATCTGTCTGTCTGTTTCGAAATCAGACTTGCAACCTGGTGGGAAACAAGATTTCGACCGAAAGTTTGGTCTATCTAGCGCGCAAGAGTAAGAAAGAGAGAGGAACATAGAATGGGAATGGGAGAGGATGCAGGGGGTTATAGGGGAAAAGGAGAGAGAGAGAGAGAGAGAGAGGGAGAGAGAGAGAAAGAGAGGGGACCGGCGGAACAAAATTCATTTGGCCAAATTAAACAGAGTTTAGCAATTTGCGCTTAATCCATTTGTCGGGGATCCGCCGTCCGTCAGTCCGTCCGTCTGCCTTTACTTCAACCCTCTCTCTTTACCTCCTCCCTTCCTTATCCTTTTCCGCGACCCCTATCGCGCACTCCCTTCTTCTGGCTCTTCGTTCTATCTATTTTACGGATACCTCGATCTCTTCGCCTTTCGAAGCTGCACGTATAGGTTTTATTTTAATTTCTATTTCTCCAAGAACTCTCTCAACATTAACTTTAAAATCATTTTTCATATATAACAACAGTATTCTATTGCGTTATTAACGTAAACATGTATCTAGATTTTAAATATACATATGCACACGCACATATTAATTAATATGTCGTACGAGACATTGCGATAAAAAAGCAGCGAGCTAAAACGTGTTACGCTTTGCTCGTTTATGTATGCGAGACACGACGTCATGTGTTTCCTTTTATTCGCTTAGTATTCAAGCCGTCTTTTTTTGCGCGCATGTTGAACGCGCGCGATACATCTTATACAGAGAATGATCTCAAATTTTACATCAGCCTGAACTCTATCGAATCATAAATAATTTTCAACGCAGGTAAAAATGATAATTTTTTTTTTTTTTTTTTTAATACGACAATATATTTTCTTTTTTTCATCGCTAATCTGAAAAACTGAACGCTTGATGAGAGATCAAAAGTTATTAGGCGAACTAATTATTTAGATTATACACACAAAAAATTGATATTTATGTGGGTTGGTAATTATTTATGACTCAATCCACTAAATTTACTCAATCTAGAATTATGCATGAGAAATATGATGTGAGGGATATGATCCGAGTTTAACCTTTTATACGGTTATCGCGCAACATCTCATTTGCGGAAACGCCTACTTTCCCTCTTTCTCTCTCTCTCTTTCTCTCTCCTCAATTATTACACCCTAGCATTACGCCGTTCTCTACCGCCTTTCGCCTTGCACGTTACACGTTCTCTTCGGCACTTGGATCTTATTATCAGGGAATTGTTTCCGTCCTCCGAAGCTCCGGCATCGCCGTCGAGCTTCCTCCTCCTCCTCCTTCTCGCATCCAACAAGAACAACGAATCCAACCTAAGTGTATTGGCAGTTGTGTCCACGTTTTATTTCCATTCAATCGGGTGAACACCTTTAAGATCACTTTCCCGTAAACCGCTAGAGTGCTCCGCGCTAGGATATTCCTGGTTCCTGCTCCCGCGACAACAACCGTGATCCGTGGACCAGCGTTTAACGCCGATGTCTAGCGCTCGCACCAAATGGTAGCGCTTGCTCTCAACATTCTTTAGCATTCTCTTCTTGCGCTTACCTTGCGTGCGCTTTCTTTATCGGCTTTCATTTGTGCATTTCTTTCGAGCACCCTGCGCTAACATTCTTCGAATACCGTAAATAGTAAGAATGCCACGTTGAATAAATAGCTATTAATTATCGTGGCAATATTTATTTTAAAATTGCGTTATATCGCTCACTCGTGACGTCGCGTCGGCTATAATAAAGCACGTTTTGCAAGATGTCTGAATTGCCAAGAAAGAGGGAGAGAGAGAGAGAGAGAGAGAGATTGAATCGAGTTGACGAATCGCATTCTAATGCCGTTACGCGTAACACCTACTAATTTCCGAGCTCCTCTGGAAATGAACCACTTCCCTCCTTCAGATAGGCAAAGGTTAATATAGTTTACGAACCAAATACGGAGTAATCATATTTGCCTTTATATACGCGGATGGCAGACGTTGACGCAGTGGTTAACCGTTCCACGCCGTCGAATTCACCGCTAAGCACCGTCTCTCTTTTCATCGTTTCTACTACCATACACTCGCTAGTTTCGCTCTTCAAATCAGAGATGAAACGCTCGCCTTTACATATAACGTGGACACTTGGACGTACGAAGCGTCAAGTGTGCAGACTTTCTACAGGCGCTCAAGTTTGCATTTATCTGATGAAAGCAAGTTTCGAATTGAACGCCTGTTGGCCGATATCGCGCGGATCCGTACGTGCCAAGATTCCTTTTAAGATCTGCTTTAATATTTCGATTCGATCGCGATCAAATCTGGGTCGCATCTCGCGGATGGCAAGTAATAAAAGCCGCAGGAATAAAATAATAGTGTCATGCTGTTCAATTTATCGCGTCGTACATCTAAGACAGTTTCGGGATACTAACACTTCCTTTTTTTCTTTCCTCCGTCAGTACGTATAAACCGCGATGGGTCTCGCGCGTAAAACTAATGGAATATGGGTGTACCGGCACCAAAGTCGCACGGAATGAACTCGCATACACTCGAAGATCGTTGCGTACGATCGCATTGCGGTACCACCTATACGTGGCACGAATTTAAGTATCCGTGAGAAAATGGATACTAAAACGCGCGAATATATATACACGCGCGGCTAAAGCAGACGAGGTGAATATTATTGCCGACTTCCGGACCTCCTCGTAATACTTTGCTTCACGAGCTTAAAATCTGCCGCCTCGATATATGTGTATATCCGCTCTCTCT